TCAACAATATTTTGGCAATGTCAATGCGTGACGATGGCAAGAATATATTTCGATAAAATTTACATAAATTTGCTCTGTTGAAAGTAATATTTTTCTCTAGACCGAAACAACTCATTTTTCGCCATTTTCATCTAATCGAGAATTCCTTAAAAGGTCTAGCGTTATGGTTACATATAGCAAGATAAATTTGCATTATGACGAAATTTGAACTCTTGGCAATTTCCTATTTTTTTAGTTTGTTTGCTTGTGCAGAGATTCAACCCAGCGGTCTTAGAATTTCTATTTGGGCGAGAACACTTAGTGCCGCTAAAATCGTCAAAATACCAAATATAGGGAGGTATCGATATATGAGGGCTATACGAAGACGTGGATCCGCAAACACAATTATCTGTCAAAGGCTGTTGTACCCATTAGGAACTTCAAATACGAAATTTGAAACAATTCCTGTAAATAATATCGCTTAAATCAGTAAAATACCGAATATCGAGAGGTACCGTTACCTGCATGGTCCATTTTCAATACCAAAAGTCCTGCAGACTAAAAACACATTTGAGTAAAATTTTATCAACATACTTCAATTCATTCGGAAGCTAGAGTGAGGCCAACAGACATACAGATGGACGGTCATCGTTAAATCGACATAGAATTTTATGCTGACCAAGAATATATATACTTTGTGGGGTCTAAAATGCATATTTCAAGGTGTTACAAAAGTTCAGACTTGCTCGGATCTTAACTTTTTCCCAACATGCTATTTTATATTCCAATTCATGTTCCGACGGACTGTAAACTTTAAGAAAAAACTGTATGTATTTTCAGCGCTTCCATGTGTGTGTGTGTGAAAAAGTATGAGTATATTTATAATGCCATTACAGCAGATTTACAGCTTTATAGAATCCTTGCTATGTGCTTGTGCCTTTCATTTGTTCTGGTCGAATATGTAATATGCATATTTTATACCACCAACTCCTACTCACACACACACACACACACCGCACACACATTTACACTGAAAGAAACCATTATAACTTAACCCCTTTATGCTCATAAAGAAACATTAACGAATGTTCTTTAATCCCCTCCAGAATTGTTGCAATATTTTGAGTTTCATGCGAAAAAAAGAGAAATATATTTTTGAAAAGCAGAAAAAACCCCCATTGACAACTCAATAAGTGATATATGGCAGAAGAAAAGCACGAAGTGGAAAAAATGCTCTTGAATATTTTCTGTTATTAACTGGTCATAGTGTTGGTTCTTAGAAGTAGATTAAGCACCAAGGGGAAATTTATGGATTCTCTTAAATTTTAGGTTTAAAGACGGCACTTTGACGCTTACTGGACCAAATTGTTGTTTTCGACATATGTCAATGCCACCCCACCTCATCACATCCACACAGAAAATATTAGCATTTCGATGTTGTAAAGCTTAAAGCTGCTATGTTCATACATGGGAAATCGTAGGGCATTAAGAAGCTCTCCAAGAAAATATGCAAAATATGTTTTTTTTTTTCTTTCATTTTGTATTTCTGCTAAATGGGATTAAGTTGTGTTGTAAAACATGCATGGATTTACACATTGCGCTTTTTCTTTCCCTTTCGCTTTTATGTTTCTAATTTTTCACTCTCCCTTTCGTTCGTCGTTTCTTTTTTTATTTGAACAAAATTTATGCTTTGTTTGCATATGTGGTGGAGTGAGTGTATTTTTTGGAGTAGTTTATAAATTTATGCATTTCGAACATTTCGGTTGGCAAATATTTTTTCAAGAGTAAAAAAAGAACATCTGTACATATATACATATAGGTAGGTGTATAAAGATTAATGATGGTTCACAAGCCAAGGTGCTTATGAATGGTAAATTGTGGTTTGTCCTTAACAAGAAAATGAAAAATGCCTTGGGGTCATGAAAATGATGTTTCACTTTGTTCAATTTCATTCTAAAACAAAGAAGGCATTACACCACTTTGGCCAAAGTGATTTCATGCACTTGCCTGGCATTTTAAAACTTTTTTGCAATAAAATGAAAAACCATCCTACCATCCGATTAGCGTAACGAACGACAAATGGCAGTATGATTTGGAAAGATGAGATAAGCAATTTGTCATATTTTAGACGATTATCGATGTGTCATTAGTAGGGAATATCGTTATAACATGCAAATGATAAATTTGCACACAAAAATGTAAACTCATCAATAGTGAGAAGAGAAATTTAATGTATTTTTTATTGATGATTGGCAATTTTGTTGGCAAAGTCAAGGTCTGTTTGAGGCAAGAGGCAAAAAAAAAAAACAAATTTGGAGTCGAGGATTAAAGTGGCCAGTAAAACCGAAAGCACCAGGAAAATAATCCGTAGTCAAGTACGAGTCAGAATTTTCTGAGTAAATTAAGTTTAAGTTTTAATAGGAGTGGTGGTGAAAACAGCTCATGTATGGTCGTCTTACAGATTTCCAAGGTTGAATTAGATTTGATATGAAGGCCAATCTAAGCTTTAAATAACATATACTTGTACTAGCGAATAAATCCTCAAATTTAACGAATAATGTCATTCTCTCTCCACTCTTCTCTCTCTCTCTTTCATTCAATTTGTTTTTGTTTTCCATTTACATGCAATAACCTTAAATTTGATTTATCATTCCACATATCGCATTTATTTTCAGGAGAAAAAAAGATAGATAGAGTAATCCATAAATCCCGCTAGCAAACAATCATTCAAACATTCGTACAACCAAATATTCAATACGGAGCTCTGTACCTGTGGTTGGCTGAGTTTGTTCGTTTGCAATGTTGATGTTGTTGTGGCGTTTGTTGTTGATATGAAATGATTGATTAAAATAAACTTTTTGACATTCTATGACAAATAGAATGTCGTTTGGAATTAACCATAAAACTAATCCAAAGAAGAATGTTGAATGGAAGGAAATGAATCGAAACCGAGCCAACGACCACGAACGAAGCGACCACGCAAACAAACTATTCCAACAAAAAAAGAAAGTTAAAACAACAACAAAATGGAAATCGGAAGTCAAAAGAAAAAAGTGATTAATTAAAACCCCAATAAAGAATCTTTGGTCATGGCGATTGAAGATGAATTACAAATTAGTTGAAACAAAGGCCAAAGAGAATTGCGAACAATTTTTTTCGGGGAGGAGAGAAAAACAGAGGGCACAGAGCTCAAACAAACTCACCCTAGTCAATGTATAACCCTGCGAGAATTATTAAAACCATGGAAACAAATGCAACAATATTGGCAACAATAATCACAATTGCTCAGTGTTGTTGTTCTTGTTTTTTCTCTCGCAAATGTCAAGTGGCTTACAAGTGGTTGGTTGAATGGTTGGATGGGATAGAAGGCGATGCTGCTGTTGTTGTGCCTCACTTTATGCGTTATTTGATAGAACATCGTTCTGTGGTCGCTCAAAATGGCATCTAGGGGCTAGGTGTCGGTCTGGCTGATGCTGTGTACCAATGTGTGTTTGTGTGTGTGTGTGTGTACGTGTCTAAGCCACAAGGACAATCAGCAATTGTAATACAAGGATAATCAGGATAAACTCAATTGTTATCGGTGGTTGGTTGCTGTTGTAACTGACTTTGGTTTGATGTTATTAGGTATGTTGCTGACAACAAGAGCAACAACAACAACAACGCCCAACTACCGCATGACTGCCATTTTTGTGAACATTCACACTCCGAAAAAAAAAGAAAGAGAATATAACAAAAAAAAAAACACACCAAACCCAACCCAATCTCACACAATAGATTAAATTACATAAAATAATACATACAAACACACAGTTTATGTGGACCAAAACAGTATCCGGCCAAAGCAAGTGTGGAGGAAGGTAAAACAACAAAGCTTTTTTCTCCTATGATAGCTTTCTTAACTCGAGCTTATATTTGGCTGCTGTATTAAGTCGGCCTATCGAACGACTTTAGATAGAAGACTTAACCCTACTTATCTTTTGTCAGTAAGAAGGTCAAGATCAGGCTTCATATATGCTCCAAATTACGTCCATCATCCAATCTAATCAATTTAGAACGTTTTAGCCATATATTCCATAAAAATAGTAAATTTTGCACTGACATTTCTTCGAGCGTATTTTTGAAAGTATAATTTAGGGGAACATTAGGAATTTGAGGGACATTTTTAGGGTCTGTCTTTCTAGATTCTGACAGGAAGAATATGCTGTATGATAATTTTAAACCCTATTACTGTAGAACTGTCTCAAGTGTACTCAAATATATTTTAGACATATAGCATCAAGAATAAACTGATCTAAAGACGAATAATGTATTGTACAATTGTCAAAAACACTCTACCTGGACAATCATATTTTTATGAAATATTTTATTTCATTCCCATACATTACGTCCGGATACTGTTACATTCGAAAGTGCTGACTATGAGCACTTCTCACACCTTTGGTCTTTACAAGTTCGTTGGATTCCTAATTCCAATATCAAAACATCTACTAGCAGCATAATCAAAAAAAAAAAAAAAAAAAATGCCTGCAATGACCACTGGCGATTATCGTGGCTTATGCATTATAGCCATGGCCTTTTTAGCATTTTTTCCAGAAAACAATGTTTTTTCTTTGTTTTTTTTTTTTTTTTTTTTTGTAAATTGCCTAATAGAGCTTATTATATGATTGTCTTGTTCTTATGCCATTTAACCTTGGGCCATTTTATCTTAAAAAACAAACACTATGGTTTCCATAATACCATCCGAAAGATATTAGACAATTTTCTCCTGATGACTTTTGCGCCGTACCAAAGGCCACCCATCCACGGTGTCGGTGTTTGTTTGCACACAAAATGGCCGCTGGCAGGCGAGAAACAAAGAATATAAATGACAATTTAAATTATCATTTAAGAACTTTGTTAACTAATCTCTGTTGCTAGCATCATTTACAACGCATTTTACTTAAATGTAAGACAATCTTTTCCGGAGGAAAAGAAGGCATTTCTGCCATTTAATGAATAACCGTTAATTGCTGGCAACTTACCTAAATGTTGGTCAACACGCTTTTTCGGCTTTTGCACCGATGCATAGGGATCGCTACAGTAGTCTTGTCTCGATGGGTTTTGGCTGTTGCGTAGATTGTGATACTCATCGCCATGCTGGCTGGGCGTTGCCGTCAACTGCGGATATGGGGCATAGTCATCAACACCGCCATAGCCGCCATGCGTCAGTGGATCATAGCCATAGGTGGGCTGTTGTTCGACGTAGTTATTGTGTGACACTGGCATCATGTTAGGCTGATTGCCTGCGGCGCCGGACATTTTCACCTGCCACAAAGAGTCCTGTGAATTCACGCTGCCGCCGTTATTTGAATTGGAGTAATTATTTTCAATGTAACCCATATTGACCCCTGCAATTAAAAATTAAGTTAAATTGAATTGTTAATTGGTTTCCATAGAAAATAAATAGGGAGACATTCTAAAAGCTATCACATAAGTTGATTGGATGCTGGAAAAATGTCACAATTTCTTTAATGCAATACAAATTGGAAAAAATACAGTTTTGAACCTTGTAATGTAATAAGAAAACGATTTTTGATTTCTTGGAATTAAGTAGAAGATGATGGAAAAAATCTGTAAGAAACACGTTGCCATCAGAACGAAACACCTTTTCAATGGCATTGTAAGCACATACCTTACACACCTTCATCGGATTAAATAAGAAAAACATAATACAGACGTATTTCCCGAGACCTCACTCGACGCGAATTCTATTGCGGCAATGTTTGCGTTTATCAGGGAAATAATTTATGGCAACGTGTTTATTACAACCGAGTGGCATAGAAGCAAATTATTTTCCACGAAAAGAAACAGAGAAAAAAAAGAAAATACCTTCAAGTGGCAAAAGAAACATTTTCATAAAACACCTGCTTGGCATAATAAACACCAACGCACACACTCTCACACACACACACACACACATACATAGACACACGTGGTGATCTACTGCATCGCATCACAATTACTACAAGAATGCTGGAGAGAAGAAACTTTTTAATTAAATTACAATTCCATAAGTGCTGAGACAAGATGCAAATGTTTGCGCGATGTTGGCTATAGTACAAAGATGCGGATGATGTCCTCTGTGTGTGCCGGAAGTGGAAACATAAACAACAAAAAAGGACAAACAAAATGTTATTCTCTTGTTTACACACACATATGACCACTTTCAACCTATGCTTAGATGGCTGCCAATACAAGCATATTACAATAAAAATGAATGAGCAAAGGTCATGTTTGTACGACTTTTGACATCTTGTCTGAAGTAATTAGATTCGAAATGCTAGTATGTGTTGTATACACCCCTCCGCACCATCCCCCCAATGATCTGATGGCATTTTATGATAACATACACACATGACATTTAGTTTTGTTTAGTTGTATTGTGTGAAGGATGTTCTTTATGTCATGCAAAGGAAATTATAGTTATTAGATACAAGTAGTGGCTTATTTATCTCAAGTTCATCAATTATTACAAACAATTATTTCTGGGAAAAAGACAAAGTTAATTTACTGGGCTACAGCAACATATGCGGCAAATTGAAAAGGGGGAGAAAGTTTTCGCTTTGTTTATTGCAAGTCTATTGGTTTTTGAGATATTGACAACTACTAGTATTTTTTGGATTTATGACCTGAGTTCATAAATGGCAGAATACCTAGTACACAGAAACCCACTGTAGGTCCCACAAAATTATTTTAGACCCTATACAACATAAATGGCAGAACACCTAGATCACAGAAACTCACTGCAGGTTCCAGAAAATGATTTTAGACCCTAAACAACAATAAATACAACGGATTATAAAACGCAATTTTTTGTTCTTTTTTAAAACCATTCGTGGAAATTTTGTTTCTTTTTTACTATTTCATAATTCATTTGTCGTTCCGTTTATAACGCCTCGAAATATTCGTCGGATACCCCAAAAAGTTATATATTCTTGATTAGCGTAAAATTTTTAGTCGGTTAAGCGATGCCCGTACGTCTGGTGAAACCACGATAGAGTCCACATTATTAAATCTAGATAATAAATCTAGAAATCTATTTTCTATAAAAGCTGATATTTTCTTGAAAATAATGCATTTTTTTCAATTTATCAGTTATATTATATATTAAAATCTCCTTTCGCACCCCTCTGTGAATTTAAGTGAAATAAAACTAAATTCATATTTTTTCTGATGAACAGCACTCAATTTCCACTAGAGAAAAAAAAAAACAAATTAATATTATCCCTAAAACAAACTACAAGCTTCTTTCATATTTCGTCTTTCTTTGCTTTCTTTTTTTTTTTTTTGGATCTAAAATATGTTTTTGTACTTTGCTTTTGAAATTAATTAACAACTCTATTATTCATTGCAGACAACAAATTGCAGTGTTTTATCTTTGTTTGCATCCACCACTCAACTCAAAGCAGAGCAGAGCAGAAAGCACTACAACACTCACAAAAAAATCTGCACTCAATATACTTAAATAGATTTATTACCCCAATTGTCCAAAGCCATTTGGCCATAAATTAATTTGACCACAATCAAAAAATAAAAACAACTCAGAGCACGAAAAAGTCGAAGCAGCAAAGAACAGTTTTTAGAACTTTATTGCATTCAACAAATGTGACAACAACACAACAAAGTCGCCACCAAAGAAATCAAAGTGGCAGCAACAAAAGGCGGCAGCAATTGCTGCAGGAATAAAAACAAACAGCCATTCCTGTGGCCGAAGAAAGGAACAAGGACAAGCCAAACGACCAATGGACAATAATGAATTGCCAATTTCGAATGGACTGAACAACAACAACCAACCATGGTTCGATGCAGAAGAATTCGCTCCTTTTTCATCTTTCCTTCCACTTACTTTTATTGCTGCTGACTGGGGCGTATGACAGGGACCCAACAAATAAACATAGTAAAGCAAATACTCCGCCGACAAAGATTAAATTTTGGAGATATAACAAATCCAGGGACCAACAAACCAACCAACCGACCGACCGACCAACAAACAAGCAACCAAACAATGGATAACAAGAGATAGAACACTGACATAGTTGTTGTTTTTGTTATTTGTAGTTCCCCAATAAAACGACAATGACAACAAACAATTGTAGAGACAAGTTTACAGAAGAAGAAGAAAACGAAGCAGAAAAAAAGCACGAAACTTGCACCAAACGACATTTATAGCGCCGCCATATTGTAGACGGAAGTTGATAGCAAACGGAAGTAACCATCACATACACATTCACCCGCACGCACACACACACATACTACCGCTCAATGGCAAACATACCGACAACATTGACAACAGAAAACTGCAGTGTTTTCATTTGGGTGCCTTTGGCTGTTGGTCGATGGTGATGACGATGATGATGGCGCATTGGTGATATCGCTGCTTGTTGCCACCGTTGTTACAGCGAGCTCCCTGCAATTGGCTTCAAGGGCTAAGAATTTTCACTTTACAGCCAAAGAAATGAAGTGTTAGAGAAAAACAGGAAATAAAAAAAGTTTCCCTGCACAGCATAGGTAGCCGTCAAAGACTAACAAAAGGATCAGCACCACTTCAAATGTTGGTGTACAGCGAATTTAGGATCTTTTGTTACAAATGCGAAAAGTTAAACAAATCTTGCAACAGCAACAACGAACGGAAGTCACACAGACACACATAGCACATCCTTAGTGACACAAATTCAAACTTAGGTGTCCTGCGAATGGAGGTATCTACGACACAATTGGCAATTAAAAATAAGCAAACAAAAAGGATTGCATTTGGCTGATGGCTTGAAGAACAATAAGAAAGTTTTGTTTGAAAGGAAAAACTGGAGGAAAAGTTTCGGCAATGTTTACAACAACAACAAAAATTGTTGTTAGAGCACAAAAAAAAAAAACAAATTAAATATTCAATATTGCCAGCATTTGTTCAATACGAATTTAATGAACAAATTGACAGTTTATCGCTAATTAAATCACATTTGAAACTTTTATATGTTAACAATCGTGTTTTTGGTTTTCAAACAGAATTTAAAATGTGAATGAAACATGCAAGTAATTATTGGCACTTAGTGTGGAAAAAGGTGTAAACAAATAAAAAAAATGTATATTCGGCTACCAGCTAATAACTGGGGTTTAATCCCATTTTATTGAATATACTTGGTATACCAATGAGGTTGTACTCGAAATACTCGAAAATGTAACCGAACCTCAGTATTAATATTATTAATTTAATACTTGCTTAAATATTCAGATTGACTTTTGCCTAAAATCATGCTTCACCAATCTCCCATTCAGACACTCATTATTCAACTCTTCAGATAAAGAAACACATTTGATTAAAAATAATATACTAAACGAATTGGTAACCGTTTCATTTAACAATATATTATTACAACAAAGAATTAAAATACGCTTTTTATGAAATGAAAGTATTTCTGCAAATATTTGTTTTTTATAACTTCCTGTCATTTATGATCAGCTAGTTGCAGTCAACTGGAAAATGTCTCCGCTAGCTGGTCGACAAACCGGTGATACATAAACGAACTAACTTTTTGTTAGAAACCATTTTAATCAACAACAATAAACAATATGGCTTAAAAGCGATGGTCCAAATTGCTCGCAAAACGACAAGGAAAATGTATGTGTACTAAAAACAGTAACAACTTCAACGACACTGTAAAAGGCAAACGAAGCAGACTACGAAGAAGCAAAAACTGCAGATTACAATTTTTAGAAAGTGCATAACAATCACTTATGGTGGCACTAAAACACGTTCCCCATAAACCAACAAACTCGCACATTTATACCGACATATAAACGCTCTCTTTAACTAACACACACACACACGCACACAACACACACTCACACATTTTTATGTGCGAAGAAATCTGGAAAGCCATCATTCTAGAATATTTCGCAGTCATGCCATCAACACCTGAAGATGTTCGTCGTGTACAGTGGGCTGCACCATGCAAAACAAACAAACAAACAAACATGGCGAGCCCAGCACTTTTGCACAGCCAAACATCAAACTGCGACGGGTTTGACGTTGTATGTATTCTTGATTGCTTATTCCCAAGAAAGTTGTAACTGTTAAAAAAGTTTCTGTTTTCGACGAAATGAGCATTCAAAGAAACACTGAAGATGCGGTGCTCCTTTTAATGGCTGTTTGTTTTAGAGAGGTTTGACGATATTTTTCATTAAAATAGAATAAAATAAAGACAATACTTAGTCGAACTTTTGTTTCCCAATTCTTAGGAAATGAAGCAAAAAATCCAAAACTAACAAGTTAAAAAGCACTAAGTTCGGCCGGGCCGAACTTTTAATACCCTCCACCATTTGCAACGAATTTGGAAATTTTTAAAAAATAAAA